TGTATGTCCAGGATTCAGTTCCCGGTCCGTTACAAATTTCAGTGTTACCTTGTCACTTTCTCTCAGGGTTTCCGTCATTTCTGCTTTAGCAAGCAGTTTATATCCTTATTGGTTGGAAGTCCAGAATCATGGTTTCTGTCACTGTTTCATTCTGAAAGATAGAACTTGTCAGACGACAACAGGATTTACCTGCAGAATATGATAGCTCTTTCTTATTTCTGAGCCAGTTTTGTCATTTCTGTAAAAATATGTCATCTACGTCTTCAGTTTGGTGAGCACTCTGATGACATGGCCATTAGTGTGATATTCTTTCTTCTTGGAATTCACTTTGAATATTCTTTCACACGTTTCAGCACTAGGTCCTGGCTCCCCAGACACGTGCATATTTCCTTAACCCAGCAACTTCTGTTGGCAGCTTGTTTTCGCTGGATGTGGCGAAATGTCTGTGGGCACCAGAGCCAGCCAACCAGGTTTCAGTAATGACTGTGCCGTCATAATTACCACCGTATTTCATTTTTTTAAGATATGCTTTTATTGATTTCAGAGAGAGAGAGAAGCATCAGTGATGAGAGATCATCGATCGGCCTCCTGCATGCCCCCTACTGGGGATTGAACCCACAACCTGGGCATGTGCCCTGCCTGGGAATCGCTCTATGACCTCCTGGTTCCTAGGTTGATGCTCAAGCGCTGAGCCACACTGGCTGGGCAGCNCTGAACCCACAACCTGGGCACGTGCCCTGCCTGGGAATCGCTCTGTGACCTCCTGGTTCCTAGGTTGATGCTCAAGCGCTGAGCCACACTGGCTGGGCAGCTGCCGCTTTTTCTTCTTTGGATTTGGGGAAGGATGCCCTGCATGCGTCTGACCTCCTTTGTCTCCACATTTTGTTCACCTTACCCGTTCTCTGGCTTAGATTAGCATCCAGAGCACCTTTGCATCCGTGTGCCTTTTTCTGTTATTGCTCATTGCCTCCCTCTTCCATTTTCCTAGTTTCCAGCTTTTGCTAATTTGGGTTACTTAGTGTTTCTTATGATTCCAGACATTATTGCTGGTTGCTGTCTGCTGTTTTAGTTCTTGGCAAAAAGACAAATGTTCATTCTAAACCTTTTTTTTTAAATCCCCACTTGAGGATATGTTTATTGATTTTAGAGAGAGACAGAGAGACAGAAACATCCATGTGAGAGAGAAACATCAATCGGTTGTCTCCCCTACTCACCCCGACTGGGGATTGAATCCCCATAACCTAGGTATGTGCCCTGACGGGGAATCGAACCTGCAGCCTTTTTGGTGTATGGCACGACGCTCCAACCAACGGAGCCACCCTGCCAGGGCCATTCTAAACCTCTGTGAAAGTTAAGGTGACTCGGAGGAAGTCTGCCATGTGACTCCTCCCTGCGTCCCCCGCAGCCCTCACTTGGCGTCACGCAGCGAGGTCTGCAGGTGCGCACCTTCCCCACTGACGGCCCCCGGGGTCGGGCCCATTTCTGTGGCTGTAACGGATTGAGGCTGTCACTAAAATAATAAGGAACTCAGTGCCTGGCAGCTCCTCCGTTCCTTTACCTGAGATATAAATAGTGTTTGCCGAGTAAAAACAAAAACATTGTCACCCAAGGATGAATTCTTCTCTTCGAGCGTCATCATAAAACTTTTCAGAATTATAAAGTAGGACGGGTGCAGGGCAGAGAAAGCAGCCTTTGAAAACAAAGTTCAAGTCAATAATAATTAACATTTCCTCGCCTCTATTTTCCTGCTAATGACTGAAGACAAGCACTAATTAGAGGAGCCTCGAGTGGCTGGCTTTTCCACACGCAGCAGATGGTGCGCGGGACTGCAGGGAGGAGCCTGGGCTGCTGCTCCCTTCTCCCAGCCTGACCCTGTCTGAGGACGCGGGGGGCTTTGCGCCCGGGCCACTTGTTCCTTAGTGTCACTTGTTCCTTAGTGTCCCACCCGCTGGTGCTTCAGGAGGCGGCTCTGCGGTGGCTGCTGAGCGCCCTGAGCGCTTTTACTGTTCCGTTTTCCTTAACGGGCGCGTTGTATTCACTTTCTCTTTGCGCGTTTCCTTGGCGCTTATGTCATTGCTGGGTCTCACTCGACGCCCCCACGCTGGTGCCTCCTTAGTGTCCTTTCTCCTGATCACACAAAACAGCCCGGAAGCCCCGGTCCCTTCAGTAGCTACTGGCCTTGACATGGTTCTGCCGCTTCAGATTTTTAAAACCGCTTTTCACAGATCATCTGGAAACATGTTTTCTCCGCTTGGCCTGTGCTTCAGTCTTTCTCCTTCCTTTGCTGCGAAGCCAGCTCACCAGCTCTGAGAAAGCGATGATTTTTGTAGAGAAGTTTCCCATCCTGCCGAGGTTGATGGCGCCTGGGCACGTGCTGAGCGTGCGTTTTGGACGGCGTGGAAGTCGTCGCGGCAGGACGGAGCGCGGCCTTGATTGTGTCTGCCCCATCCCTGCTCTGCGTCAGCGTCGCCTTACCAGGACGTGTCCTTTCGCTCTGCTTGCTGTGAGAGTCACGCCGTGGTTGCCCTCGGCAAAGAAACTTTGTCTTCACCTGCTGGTTTTTTGTCCAAACTTTCTTTTCGTGGAACCAGAAGAAAACAGTGACTGGTTGCCGTCAACATTTCTGGTTTAAGTGAGAAGTATTCCTTTTTGTTCCATTTCCTTTGTGTTTCTGGCCCTGCTGAAGCGTAAAGGCAGGGAGACCAGTTAGGGAGCTGCTGCAGTAATTCAGGCAAGAGATAGAAGGCCCTCAGCTTTGGGGCAGCGTTAGACGTGGAGAGTAATTCACATTATTGTCTTAAAAGATGGAGGCAGAAGGGTTTTCTTCATTTATCTCACAGTAAGTGCTTTTGGAGTTTAGATACCGCCGGTTTTCTTCGAGTCTCTCTTCTCTTTTTCACACGTTCTTGTTGGTAACTGTCTGACTAATTAAGGAATTTATCACATTCATCACTTATATAGTTTCTAGTTTTGGAAATTACTTACTTGATGTCTGTTGCATCTTTAAAAAGGATAACATTGTAGGTTTCCTTGATTATAAAAGTAGAAGGGAAACAAAAATAACTTGCCCTATCACCCGGAGATAATAATTATTAGTATTTCCTTTCAGTTTTTGGTAGGTATACAAATAATTTGCATATAGGACCAAAGAGCCTATGTGTAAATATTTATACGAAACCTTGCATTTTAATGAAATATTAAATTATGAGAATGTAATATTCATTCATTCTGTGGATGTCTCTCCAGATGTATTTTACATTTATCCTATCATTAACCATTTAGGTTGTTTCCAACTCTAATATTTTAACAGATGCCTTGGTAAATATTTTCACGAATAGGAAGTCTTCATATTTATCCCCAGGATGATGGATTAATGTATAAATGAATTTTAAAGTCAAGAATGTCTTCAAAGGGTTGGATTGAATAAGTGTGAAGATGGGAATGAGCCCTAACGGCTGAAAGCTCCATCGGTTGAGGAGGTGGCGGGAGTGCTCAGCCGCTCTGTGCCCCTCACCTCCACCTGCTCTCAGCTGGACACCAGCTGGGGGAGGGAATGCCAGAGAGCAGTGAGGTTCAGAGCACAGTGATGGGGGTCCCTCACCCCTCCCTGACTCATTCTCAGATGAAAATTGGTGTACGTCTCACCCACTCTTTCAGTTTCGATGCCCCCATGTTTCCTGACTCTTCCTTGGAGTCTCTGTTTGATGTAGGTCAAGATCCTTCTGTTGATCAAAGATGATGGCTTTCATCCACCATGTGCTGTTCCTTCTCAGCTGTTGGCAGCAGGTGCACCGTAACTCACGTGACTCTTGGGATCCTTGGTTTTCTTTCGTTGTTGGAGGAGTGTGAGCATAAGAAAGGCTACTTCACCTTAGAAACTTCTGGAGAGTTCAGTTATTAGTTTAGGAGACCAGCTTAATACAACTCTCCCTATTCAAGTCAGTTCCTTTACGCACACAGATATTTGCTTTGGATATGGATGGTTCTGTTAGGATAAGCACTCACAGTCTTCAAGATATTTTTTCTTGGCACCAGAAAGATAATTCTTTAACCAGAACAACATTGACCTTCGTTTTTCTTGGTCCTTGTTGTTCTGAGTTTTTATGTTGATGTTAAAACCCCCCCTATTTTTTCTGTTTTCTTTTTTTGGTTTGCTTTTTAATTCTAAAATAGCTAGCTTACGTGGGGCATTTCATACTGTTATAAAATGTCCCTTTACTCTGTGAATGACTTTAATTGCATTGACTATTTCTAGTTATTAGTTAATATTTGCTTTTTGAAATTTCCATACCGAAATCAATAATCTGTCTTTGAGTAAGGTTATTTCTGCAGTTGCGTTTCGATCACAGTCCTAGGAAGCTGTCAGACATAATTCCAAGCTGTTGCGAACAGCATCTGTGTCTGTATGTAAAAAGCTCTTCAATGGACCGAGCAGGTGTTGTTGCAGATTCTTGTCTTTGATATGATACATTTCCCATTAATTTGGAAAATCTGGTCTGAAGGGATGTGCTTCGAGTGTGTGGAGCTGAACCGCAGTTTGTGGAAGTTCAGGGAGCTGTACCGACAAACCACTGGACAGATTTGCAACTGGGCCTGTTTCAGGCAGAGACTAAGTTCTGGAGCTTAATGCTCTGTATTTTATGCTCAGACACATGTATTTGAAGTTATTTTTTGGGCATCTAGAAGGTACGATATAAATTACACATGCACACGCTCTTTTATATGCAGGCTGGGCAAAAGGAGGTTTGCAGTTGTTCGTATGGAAAATAATACAATGATTAATAAGTAATAATACACGAATAAACTCTGAGTTTTGCGTACTCACAGCTGTAAGCCTCCTTTTGCCCACCCACCTGTGTGCGTGTGCGTGTGCGTGTGTTGTTACATTGCGTATGCAACCTAAGTTGGACGTGAAGATGTGTATACGTCACCTTTTAAATAAGAAGTGTTCAATTTAGGCTTTCACTCTTTAATGAAAAATCCTTTTTCCCTTCGTGTAGGTTGAAGAAATTGTGGATGTTGGGTCGTTTGCCGCAGAAGACATCCACATTCCTAAGATCTATGTGCATCGCCTCATAAAAGGAGAGAAATACGAGAAGAGAATCGAGGTGGTTACTTAGCTTTGTCGTGACTACTTACGGATCTGATTATAGAGATGTGTCCCTGGGGCCCTTCCAGATAGGGAAGTAGAGCCGAGCAGGAACCCCTGCTCTGGATCTCAGTGGGAGCTTCTCACATGGCCACTGGGAAGGGACATGGGCATGTGTGCTGTTCTCCAGCCCGACGGTGCCTGGGGGTGCTGTGGGCTGTTTTCCAGGCTTCCACAACTGTCCCGATTCAGGGGGCATAGTTCTGCATCTATCCCATCCCTTAGGGTGTAGGAGAATAGTTGGGCCTCCGGTGGCTTTACCGCTGTTAGACTCCCAATGTTTGATTGTTCAGAAATGTCTGTCTATCCTGACGTTGCTTTTGCTTTGCATTTTAGAGAGTCTGGAAAGAACACTGCTTCCCATTAGTGTTAGGCATTAGGCTCTAGGCAGCTGGTGGGGGAGAGACTGTGGCAAGGAGTGGCTTCCGGGAGCATTGGAGGTATTTTTTTTCAATCGTCACCCAAGGATATGTTTGATTTTAGAGAGAGAAGAAGGGGGAGAGAGAGAGAAAAATATAGATGTGAGAGAGAAACATCAATTGATTGCCTCCCATATGTGCCCCGACTGGGGATCGAATCTGCAACCTGGGTATGTGCTCTGACTGGGAACTGAACCCATCACCTTTTGGTACAACCAGCTGAGCCACCTGGCCAGGGAGTGTTGGAGGTGTTTCAGGTACACTCAGAGCTTGAAGAATGACCCTTTGGGCCAGAATCGATACCAAGGTTCAGAAGTGTCTAAGGCTCAGCAACGGAATAGACATGGCTCAGGGGTGTCAGGAAATCAGGTAGCTGTGCCCTGTGGACGTTGAACAGAAAGGCATTCTGCAGTCCAGAACTAACGTCAGCCAGCTCGGAGAAACGATGGGACATCTGCAGACAGGAAACAGCCTGTGTTAGGAGATTTGGCACGGGAAATACTTCCCTGGCGGTTTCTGGATACGTCTGTGATCCCTGTGATGCGCTTGTAGCAAAACCAGTCTAGACGCTGCAGGTGGACACAGGCAGTTAGAGCAGCAGCACCTGGTCAGCACCATCTGACAGCCCTGCACAAGCAGAGTCCCGAGGTCTGTTCCTTTCCCTTGTTCCAGCTCAGTCTCCGAGCACCGAGGAGGAGTTGCAGGAGTCTTGGGAGGTGGCAGGAGTAGCTGTCAGTGTGACAGTAACAGAGGGATTGTTCGCTTTAAAGAGACAGCGAGTGTGCCTTCCTCTTCAGATAAATCTGAGCTCTTTCACTTCCTTTCTAAAGAATTATCTCTGCCCTGGCCAAGTGGCTCGGTTTGTTGGAGTGTCGTCCCCTGTACAATGAAAGGTTGTGGGTTCAATTCCCTGTCCGGGCATATACCCAGGTTGCTGGTTCAACCTGGGTTGGGGTGCAAATAGGAGGCAGCCAACCGACCGATGTTTCTCTCTCATATCGATGTTTCTCTCGATCTCTCGCTCCCTTCCTCCCTCTCTAAAAAAGGTCAGTAAGGGGTGAAGGTTAAAAAAAAAGAATTCTTTCTGGTGGTTCTTTTATTCATATTATTCTTTTTGTTATCTTTTAACTCCGTTATATTGCAGATTTGCCTCATAGTAGTAGTGGGAGACAGTTAAATTTTTTCTAATAAAACTTTGTACTTTAACAGTGATAAAATCCAAGATGTACCTCAACCACAAATAATTTATTTGTTCGTTTTAAAGCGTTTATCAACCCGGAAACAGGGAGATGCGAAAGCCAAATCTGGAAAATCTGGGGATAATGTGAGGGAACGCATCATCAAGCGGGCAGCCCTTGAATTCGAGGACGGCATGTATGGTATCCTTTATCTTTCTGGGGCTGGGCGAAGACATGGCCCTTGCTTTTCCCACAGCCACCAGGCTACCGGGCCTGCTGCATGGTGATTCTTCTATAAGTTTTGTAACTTTTAAAGCAGTTGATTGGCTTTTACAAAATGTGGCACATAACCTACAGATATCAAGATATATGACATTGGCCTGGCCGGTTGCTCAGTTGGTCAGAGCATCGTCCTGATACGCCAAGGAGTTGAAACACTCTTTATGCAGACATTTTGGTATCATCAGAAAATTTTTTAAAATTTGAAAATGGTAGCCTTTTAAAGAATGTTAAATCATCCTTATTTTTAGGTGGAGTTTTGAAAAATCAAAATTGCTTTTAAACAGAGGTCAAGCCATGTTTAATAAAGATCAGTCACAAGTCATAACACATCAGTCCAAATTTGCCAAGCACGTTAATGAAAATGAAATGTCTTACAATGAAAATGACCTCTTGGCCAGACTCCTGAAGCCACCACTTTGATATATTTATGGGAAAGCATGTGAGTGTTATTGAAAAAGCTATGATTAATTAGTGATTTTCTTTTTAAAAAAAAATCTACAAAATAGTGCCTAGCGGGTGATTGGCGAATGTGTTCAGTAATTACATTCAGAGCACGTGCCTTGAAAGAAGGCTTCTCTCGGTTTATGTATGTGGAAGATTCATGGTGTAATCTACCTTTCCTGCGTTCTGCCTTAACATCATCTTTTCCAGCGAATTTGGGCATAGGAATCCCACTTCTGGCCAGCAACTTCATCAGCCCAAACATGACTATCCATCTGCAAAGTGAAAATGGAATCCTGGGCTTGGTAAGATGGAAGTTAAAGTTTTATTTATGCGGCCTTGATGGAGCACGAGATGTTCCATATCGTGAGATCTACTGACTGAGACTGTTAGCTTCAAGTTCCCAGCCTTACTTTTCTGTTTATCATTAACTTTCCCATACAGTGGTGGTAACTGTGAGTACACAGTGTTCTATTTTCTGTGGTAGTTGTAGTTTCCTTACTATGTGAGCTTTCTGACTGCTCCATCTGACTGCTCCTGGTACCTGCTTCCGAGAGAGCTCTCAGTTTCCTGTTCAGTTATTTTTGACTCCTGTGTGGCTGGACAGGAATGAAGGTCCTTAACAGTTCTCTGGGAAATAAAATTCAGTAAGGCTCTGAATGAAACCTGAAGATTAAGGCTTCTACGTAGGGCAGGGACATGTTTTGACAGTTGGCTAATTCAAAAAGTCTTAGCAATTCTTCTTATCTAATTATTGTTTCAAGGCCCTGTTGTCCAAAAGGGTAGAATTTTCTCTTCCTCAAAATTAACCTTCCAGATGAGCTCAGTAGTCTCACAGAATTTGGCCACAGTTTTTATTCAGTATTATAATGAAAGTAAGAAGCGCTTTTGCTTCCTGGATGACATTTTTAATTTAATTGTTAACTATGTCAGAGGTCATTTATAACTGGCCAATTTATAATATTCCCAGTCTTTATCGTTCCTCAGTGGATCGTAACTGTTAATGCAATAAAAGTTGTACATATAGAAAACGTATAGCTGGTATTTATAATGTAAATAATGATCATAGGAATAGTCGATGGTGATTGATCGAGTCAATGATCATGACCATTTTCAAAGACTGAAATGATATGTGTCTGGGTGAAAGCAGATTGTTATTGAAGTTAAAGACTTAATATTGTTCAGGTACCTTAGGGATTGATTATCTAGAATAACCAGTTTCCTCACTTTGAAGATAAGGGAAGTAAGTTTATGTAAATCACCCATGGTCAATGTTTAAAGGAAAATTTGCATAAGTCTAAACATTAGTTACCACTTCAGTTTACTTAAAGAATAAAATTTTGGTCCCTGAGAAAGTCTGTTAAAATCTTACAGCCAATATATCTTCATTCTTGGCTCTATGTTATGCCTTTTTCTTCCCTTTTGATTAATATATGTTATGAAACTCCTTGCTCCATTTAAGTAATTAAAGATGGCTTATAAAAATACATACAAAGATTTTAAAAACCTTACTGAGAATAAGTGGGCAAAGGGACAAGTAAGGTAGCAAAACTTAGATGTTGTGAGTGATAAGGTTAGAACCCCAAAGTCAGGCCTTTGGCGTCTGCATACCAGCTGAAACTTGGCCTCGCCCGGTCCTTCTAGCCAAATTCTGCAGCCCTTTAGTTTGAATTTGATACTAAGAGGAAGGTTTTTGTAAAACATTGCTGCCTAATAGTGAGTAGTAACTTTTCATTTTACTGATGTATATTTCTAATAACATTACTTTCAAACTTTGATCATGTTTAGAAACTATTTTTCAATGACCCAGTTACAATTATTAGTGTAAAAAGACTAATCAGCATGAGAAACAGGGTCATGAAGACACCAGAATTATTTTCTAAAGGTTCACCTCAAGTCTTCTGACGATAATTTCCTAGTTTTTGGAGAAGTCGTTTATATTACAGTGTTCGCGTGTGGTTCATTGAGAAACTTGTGACTGACGCTGACTCATTTGCTTATCTCACAGGGTCCGTATCCATTCGAAAATGAAGTTGACGCAGATCTAATCAATGCAGGTAAACTCACTCATTCTGTGTTTTAACGGCATTTTCCTTGCTATTGATCTAGTTCTATGCCAAATGCTAGTGAGGAGTTGGACTCACTTCTTTGTCTTTTCTTAGAGAGTGTTCCCTGAGGAGGGGAGATGAGCCTTCCGAGTCCCATCTTTGCCTGGCTTCTTGTCAGAGGTCTCTGATTAGGGGGGACTAAGATACAGGCAAAACTGCTGTTGGAGCTACTTGTCACTGTGAGACTGTCGGTGACTCAATCGGTCAGGGTACTGGCTATAAATGGGGTAATGAGGAGCCTGAAGGGAGGGACAGTTGACAGGGGTGTGGACAGGATTAGGGAAACCAAGAAAGGAAACACAGGTAGACCTTATGGGGCAGCTGTCGGAGAGGGTCCGTCACCTAACGGGAACTATGGCCTTCGGTAGAGGGACACAGCCACGTGGCTGCAGCCTGGGCGAGGGTGAGCGTAGGGTCTCCTTGGCTGGGCCTTCTGCTTGAGCCTGCCCTTGGACAATCTCACATCCCACATTGAAATAGGTCTGCTGCCGGAGCCCGCTGGCAGAGTCGAACGGTCCTGAGGAAGGGGTGAGGATGGAGAAAAGACAGACACAAAAAAGATGGGATCGGGAGGACTGCAGCTTGTGACTGCTGCAGCCCCGAGTTTCTTTTCCAAGTTCAATTTATACCGACAGCTGTTGTTTTTGCTGAATAGCACCCTGCCCCGCATTCCTTCCCCTTGCCCGATACAAAGTAGTTCTCTCCGGGCTGCACAAACACACCTTCAGCGTAAACATCCTGCCTCCTGCAGGAGCTCAGACCTTGGTAACTACCTCTGTCTCGGCTTCTAATGGGAACTTTTTGGGAAGGATTGAGTCCTTGGCTTGGTATGTGGCTTGACTGTCCCTTAACCCTTCAGGCCAGGGCCAGCTTCCTAATAAGCCTTTCTAGA